TTGAGCTCGGGTGGGGATGTGGAATCACTGGCAGGAGCTCATCCACACTGACCCAGCGGCTGCCCTCTTCCTCAGCCTCACAAATCCCCAGCGCGAGTCAGAATTTCAAAATTTGCAAGTACAATTGCCTCCGGACAGAGGGACAATAGATCCACTTCACCATAAAAGGGAGTCCTCTCCTCTTGTTCGCTCAGACAATACTTTTTGTTTTTGGTTTTTTTTTTTTTTGAAAAGGACGCGGAGATGTGAAGAGTTTAAATGATTATTTCTGCTTGGTTCAGCGTGGGGGTTTTAACAGAGGGAAAGAGCTGGATGTTTAAGTCGCAGCGTCGCTGAGACCCTGAAACCATTTTAAGGGAGAGTTTTAACTTGCAGGTTTTCTGACTGAAGAAATGAAAAATAAGTGTCCAGGCGGCTAATACAATAGAGTAAAATTAGCAGCATGTGGGAAAATACTGAATTTGTGAATTAATTAACAAGATGCTGTTTGTTTTTTTGCTTATTTTAAACATCACTGTGACCCTGTGCTGAATCAGAGGTGATGGATGGATGAATGGATGGATGGATGGATGGATGGAAACTCGTCCAAGTATGCACTGTCCAGTGAACCAGTAATTCCCGTCTTGACGGCGTCTTATCCGCAGTGCTGCCGTCAAGAACATGCCGTTTCTTTCAGCCATAATTACGTTCCCACTTCGCCGCTTGTGTTCCTCTTCATCCGGAAGCTTCCACTGACTCCGATAAGACCTGCTACGCTGGACAGACCTGTTTTCAGACAAGATTTATACCTGCCTTCTCATTTATACTTCAGCGATAAATAAAGTGTAAATAAATACAAATAAAGTGGTAGAAGCTGTAGGCTTAGAGGAGTCAGTCGAGCGTCACTCAGTCAGGCAGCCGGCCTTCGGTTCAGGCAGGGCCGTTTAAGCCCTTATTATTCTTGTTTGCTATCGGTAGGTCACCTCAGGCTTTGTCCGTCCGCTATCTCTTTATCCATCCACCCCTCCGCCCAGGACATTCTCCGNCCAGGACATTCTCCGTCCGCTATCTCTTTATCCATCCACCCCTCCGCCCAGGACATTCTCCGTCCGCTATCTCTTTATCCATCCACCTCTCCGTCCAGGACATTCTCCGTCCGCTATCTCTTTATCCATTCACCTCTCCACCTTCATTCCCAGCAAACACTAGTTAATTGTGGATGCTGCTCCACTGGCCACAGCCTTGGTGTTCACCATGTAATTCTGGTAAAAATGATGGGTTTCCTTATTAAACCACGGGGGGTGGGGGGGATTAGACCATCCACCATACACACTGTCAGTCAGTGCGCTACAGGGAAAGACCATCTACCGTACACACTGTCAGTCTGCGCTACAGGGAAAGACCATCTACCGTACACACTGTCAGTCTGCGCTACAGGGAAAG